TCAGTAAACTGGATCTAGATCTGTAAATTTTGGATCCGGCAGGCTCTACACATATGCTTGTTGCTGAATCTGGAAGAAGATGTTGATATTGCAGCACTACCGTTTGTCCAGCATTTAGTAGCATAAAATACAGTTTTTGTGGTATTTCTCTTGGTATGAAACAAAATAAAGAGTCATTTTTTGTTATCTCATGAAAAAAATTGTATAAGTTTTGCAATTAATAAACTTTACTAATTAAAATTTCCATTCAAGTATAACAAAATTCAAGAAAATTTACATTAAGTAATTACATGCGAGCGCGCACGAGGTATTCATATGCCTAAAACAAACTAATCTAACAGTTTACTTCAGTTCAATCCAGCAGAAATAATTCGGAATTCAAAGGGTTAATTGTGCTTTTTCTTTGAACTGAAAGATCTTATTTATTTTTTCCGTATCTCTCACACATTATACGACCAATTATAAATATGAGTAAAGCATTTTCTTCTACCTAAATTTATACGTTTATTTTTAAATTTTCATAAGAATTAGTTCACTCCATCAAATGAATATTTAATGATCAATACGTCTTTGTCTACTAGAAATCAATAATTCGATCAAGTAAGTAGAATTGTTCCGAAAATTTTTTTTGTCTTTTATTTTCATTTTATAATTATTTTCTTTTGTTTATTACAGAGATCGATAAGATAGAATAATCTTAGAACATAGAAAAATTCTTTTATTAAAATTTTCTGAATAATGGAAGTAATAAAAACACTTCATATTGTTTATTTTTTTATACAATTAAACATTGATATTGATTTATACATCAACAATCTGTTTGAATAAAATTATACTATTGTAAAAATTAATAACAAATAAATGACTGGTGGAATTGGAATAATTCAAATTAATACTTAATTAAATGTTATGTGTAAATCAACATTTTATTTTGTTTTTGAACTTGAAATGTTTCATTAATTCATTAAGAACAATACTTTTATGCAACATTGTATTTGAATTACTGTCCTGCACGAGTACGACTTTTCGCAGCCAGATCTAGATAGCTGTACACTGTATCCAACTGGAGCTAATTGACATTTGGTAGATATCTTCTCGGTCACATCACGGTTTTCAAAGTTTTATTTTATATAGAAAAGCATACTGTTTAGTTTGTACCATCAAGAGTAACAAAACAAAGAGATCATCTCAGATACCATAAAAAAGAGCAAGTAAATCAAGTGCTTTAGAATTCATTTGGTATCTTTCTACCTCTAAAAGTTGATGAATTTCGCTAACTACATGTTTACTTATTGCGGATGATGCTTAAATGAAACGCAGTGTGGATGCTAAATACTATAATTGTGGATAAATACATGAATTCTTGTTCCATCACAACGATACATGTTCATCTTTTTCATAAATCATTTTCCTCTCCGTGCATTCAGTTATTTCGTCATATGCTTCATCATCAACAGTAGATGGATTTTCATTAAAAGTGAATTCTTTTAGTAAAACAATATCGTTTTCTGATTCTGTGATCTGTTCTCAAGTGTAATAAATTCTTCAATCATGATCGAACCGATTTTCACTCCTATACCCTTATATAAATTAGCAGTTTGAAAAAGTCAAAATATTTTGAAACGTCGAGGTCTAATTAATTGCCAGCTTGGGTCCGGATATGAGATCATATCCGGCACTCGATCCAGTTGCAGGACACTACTTCGAATAATTTCAATTAATGATAGATATACTAATGTTAATTGACAATATCTGAAACATGAGAATAAGAAGAAAAAAAGAACATTTGCACTATTTTTCTTTTATAATTCAGTGAAATATTATGAACTTTTTAAATCTTTTAAAGTCAAAGTATTCAATGAGTTCAATTGAATGTCATTCAGACATTATCAATGAATTGTTGATATGAGAGTTATAAACAATATATTCAAGATGACTAGAAATAATTAACAAATAACTTATAATTTTCTGCATACGTTTTATATGATTAACAGCTCGAAAACATGGCCTCTAATCAACACAACAGTACAAAGAAATTTAAATCAATAACAGATATATATTGTTTATTTATAAAAGCTTTTTTTTTTGCTAGATATGAAAATCTATTTTTGAAGATTTCAGATACAAAATCAAAGATTTGTATGCTTCAATGTAGCACGTTTGTTCACACCCTCACCGGTATACCGACAGTAAATTGTCATTCGAATAATAACTGCCAGTATACCGCAGTGCAATGACGGTCAGAGGATAAACGATCGTTTCAGTATCAAACTACGGCCGATTCATTGTCGGTCTACCGACGGATTTTATCCGATTTGTATCACATGGGTTATGATTGTCCCTACAATAAAATCTCATTGTGTTTAATCCATGCCGATGTCTAAAGAAATGTTTTTATTGCGATCTCTATCAGATTGGATTATCAAATATGTTTTCATGAGTTGATTTTTATCTATTGTCTTTTCGATCTATCTACTCGCCTTAAAATAACTTTTCTATGTTTTACTATTTAAAATCATTGAGAAAATTGATAAATTATTCATAAGCTATTTTTTAATATTAACTATAGACAGGATATAAAACTATGATGTATTTATCTCAATTATTTAGATTAATAAATTACTTGTTTTATTCTAGGATTGTCAAAGATTGATTATTAAACGATCGTTCATTTACTTGTTTATCAATGTTGAAAAATAATTTTTCAATTTTGATCACATTAACAATATTTTTTCAATTTCTTATTAGTTGATCGTTGTTTTTTTCTTTTGTTTCATCTGCACTCTGCATACGAATAGAGTATATATGATCATTAATTAACAATAATAAATTAATATGATTATTATTAAATCGATCAAGTAGTTGTGCATGATTTAATTGTAACTATTGATCGAAATATAAAAGAATAAAATTTAAAGTACAACTATTTGCATGATCAGATAAAATACATTATGATATATGACTTTCAATAGAAAAATGTTCGAACAAAATCGAATTGAATATCAGACAATAAAAGACAAAAATATTTCGATTTTGATTTTATATTTATTTTTGATTAAAATTCTTCAATAATTAAATGAGATATGTAGTTGAATATTTTGAAAGAATAATGATATAGATCATTAGAAATATTTTATTCGTTTTTTTTTATTAATCATATAAATATTATTAAATAATTGTTTGATAATAACTATATGTAAAAGAGATATATTTATTTATAATATAAGTATCCTGTTTTGAATAAGTTTGCTTATTAACTATAACAGAATTTTATCTTTTCCTTTCGAAAGTATTTATATATGCATGAATTTATTTCTGTTTTCTGCATTCACTTGAGAAAATATATTCATTATATTTTTTTTATCATTGTTGCAATAGGAACGTCATAAGCTTCTTTTTTTTTTGTTTCTTAATGAGCATCAAGTCAATTGTCGACTGGACTGGAATTTTTCTTCTAGTTAAAGCAGCAATGAACATGATTATTGACTATTTTTCTTTTTTATAATGTTGTTCATGACATAACAAACAGCAATAAGAAATCATATGTATGTGCATCAAAATTCGATTTCTCTTTTCCTTTCATTTCGCTGTCTTTATGTATGCTAAGCGAAACATGAGAGAGAGCATCATAGTAACAGCAGATGGTACTTGATGATGATCGCCGATAGGCAATGTGACGATAGAAATATGGAGAAAAGAACAAGAAAATAAGAAATCTAACAGAATGTCGAACGAGCAAGAGAGAGAGAGAAAGAGTAAGACAGCTTTTTCTGCCATCGTCTCTCGCGGTCGTTGTCGTCGTCTCAATCAGTATGCGGATTTAACACTCTCCTCCCTTCGTTCGAGTCTGATCACACATACAAAGAGGAAACAATTTTCTTTCCCCATAAGCAAGCAAAGACGACTGAGTGAGTGAATAAGTGTTAGAGTAAAGTAGTAAAAGAATGTCGTTGAGGCCATCGTTAAATGATATTGAGTAATCATGGAAGATTGTCGTCTTGATAATGTAAAGAATTATAATAATACAACGATGAAACTAATTTATTTTCTAATTGCTTGATTTTGTAAGTAAAAATAAAATAGATGAGTTTTTTGTTCATTTATCATTCTAATCCTCTTGAGTACTTTCTATTTTTGGCTGAGTTCGAAAAAAATTTCTTTCTTATTTCAAGAAAAGAGAAATGCTTCTTAAAAAAAAAAGAATTCCCTCATTCATTTGTGGTGAATAAAGCAGTTGGTATTCAATCAGAAAAAGAATAGATTATTGAGTCGGATAGGTAACATTTAGCATGAACAGAACGGTTGTTCACCCTCTGTTTCTTCCTCTCTTGACAGTTCATTTCCGTTATGGTTCTCATTCTTCTTTTCTTTTCAAGCTATTACCACTCTACTACGGATAGACTGATTCACATACTTTTTCCTTGCTCTTAATAGGTAACATTTTTCAGCCAGAACTATGTTCAATTATCATAGAACATAATAAAAAAAACCATATTACATTCCCTTGATGAATAAATTAAAAAAAAAAAAGAGAAAAAATCCAATTCATAAAAATCTCGAGAGAAAATTATATTTATCAATCATTCAGGTGAGATAATAATTATGATTTTATATTTAAATTATATGAAAATTTCGAGAAGCAATCATAATTGTTATGCAGAAAAAACTATACAAGATCAACAATCGAATCCTTATTAAAAACGTTTTCTTTTTCTTTTTAATGCTTCATATATTGAGTTTATTCTCGTACGGAGTAAATGATTTTAAAATCAGCAAGGTCTTTTTTTCCTCAATTTGCTTTAAGCTAAAGAGAAAAGAAAACAAATTCACCTTCATAAAAATATATTTGCTTTTTTTTCAACTGATTACCCAGTTAACTATACCAATATTAAGTCAATAATAAACTGTTAGAAATTATGTGAGGCACGAGTGATCAAATAAAATTTATATTAAAAAAAAAAGTTTTTTTTTTCTTTTATAGAGTTTTAAATTTATCAAAAATGCCAATAAATTCAACATTAATTAATCGTAATGATGTTCATGATTATTATGCTGATAATTTTCCTTTACCATATGAAGATGATGATGTAAATTTAGATCTAACAAATCAAACATATTATGATGATTATCTAATAAATAATAATCAAACATTTAATTTAACAAATTTTGATGTATTATCATTATCATCAATATTTTCATTTTCAAGTCCATTTTCATATATAATTTTAATTTTAATTGTTTATGCTATATTAACAGTTATTTTACTTTCACTTAGTTTATATAAACAAAGACAAGTTGAAATGGAAAATTTTTATTATGGAGATACACAAGAAGAAATTGAAAAAGCTAAACGTTGTTTAGTATGGAAACAATTATTAATTGGAAAAATAACAAAAGGTGATATGGAACCTTTATTAATTGATACATATTCGAACTCTGATGGAATAATTTCTGAATCTAAAACAGCAACATTTCCATTGCAAATCGTATGAAATAAAACGAAATTTTCTTCTTTTTTTTTTTTTTTTCTTTATTTGTTATTACGAATATTTTTAAATGAATAGAAAAAATTATTGCTCAATCAATGTAAAATAAATCTATCGAATTTTTAAATAAGTTTCATTAATATCAATGAACATACATAATTAATTTATTCACAACATGTTTTCATTCTTATTTAAATTCTTGACCATATATAAATATCTTTTACTTTATTCTCTATAAGTTGTTCAAGTAGATAAAATAAACCTATTTTTTTGATGATAGCTTTCATTTAATCTTCAAGAAAAAAAAAATTGAATTTAAATCTCATGTCTAATAGAATTAGTATGAAAACCTAAATAATAACAAGCAATCCTATTTCAATTAATGAGTTTGATACTATTTTCTGGTTAATTAACAATATATTACTGTCAAATTAGTCTTATAACAGGAGAATAGCTTAATTGAATATCATGCAACCAATTATTTTGATGTAACACATGAATAATGTACCCTTGGAATGTTTCTTAAGTTGATTAAATAAATCATTTCATATGGTTATCAAACACGAGAATAAGAAAACAAGGAAAGACTAATTTGTTATGTATTATGGCCAATTAAGAATACCACTGGTGAGTAGAGAATATACGCTGGAATGAATTAATACAGAAACATGACAGCTATTTGTTTGTATTTCTTCCTACTAATATATTTCTGATCATCCGTTCTTTTTTTCTTTTTTTGCATGTGCGCGTATGGCTGTTTAGTTAGAAGCACTCTATTGTGTTTATGATCAAACAATGTCTTCTTTCTATTGATAAAATCTTTTCTTCAATTGAAAATTCTCTCTTTTTTTGTTTTAATGTGGTGATTTATATCGATGAATAGTACAATTATTTTCTTTCATCACTTAGCAAAGAAGAAAAAAGAAATTCTAATAAATATAATGTATTATGTAAGAGAATGAGGTGCAAAGATCGATTGTTCCCTTGTGATTAATGCTTGAGTCAGTATCCATAGAATGACAACAAACAGACGGTACTAGTTTCTCCCGAGGAAAAGTTCGTTCTAATTAGACTAATTTATATTTAGTCAAGGGCATACATATGGATCTTATTATTTAGATCGAAATGGAAATTTCATATGATATATTTAAGTTAACTAAATTAACGATTCTTTGATTAAACGAGGCGAAATTAAGAATCACTTGATATTATGAAGTCAAGAATGATCATCATTTGCATAAATAGATTATATTTCTATATGTTATGCAAGAGGATGTGACGATCTGCTGATTGAGATATTCTGTCATGACAGTTTTTTTTCTTTAGAAAAAAGAAAAGCATTGATTGCCAAGTCTTTCCTTTTAAATCTCTAATGACTGATTTTTGATATAGTTGATGTTTTTTTTTCCTTTTCCAATTCATTTGTGCGTGTGGACGTGTCAACTTGTTTCAGATTTCCATTCATTTCATTTGCTATCTTCTTCTTTGTTTTTTTTATACATGACGACTAATATTAATGATAAGATTCCCAGGATTATGATGATATTTGATAACACAGTATATAGAAATACGTCAAGTAATGCGTATATAAATATATATATTCATTTATTAAAATCAATTGTTTTTCTTTTTCTTGTCTTATTGATATTGAAAACATTATTAATGAAATTTAACAAAGCAGATAGAAAAATATTTGTGTATACAAACCAAACATTGTTATTGTCTTATTAAAGATTATTTTTTTAGAGACAAATATATCTTAGTTTTCAATGTATTTGAAATGGAAAATATCATATTTTTTTATTATAATAAGATTGTCAGATTTTTCGGCATAAGTATACTTTACGTAAACACCTTTGTTTTTGCGATTTTTTTTACTTCTAAGGTTTATTATACCCAGAAAACGACAGAACAACTTAAAAAAACCGACGGCTACCCATCAGAACCCCATTTTAGACCATTGAAAAGTTTCAAAAGTGTTTGGTCGCCTTATCTAATATTGCAATCAAATTTTTGTTTCGTTTCAACAATTTCGCCCTAATTCAAATTATTCTTTTTTGTTAAAAAGAGTTTTCTTAGTTTTTTCATATTTGATTATTTCTGAAGATATACCGCTCAATATTCAATCAATTCTCGATGTGTATAAAGCGAAGAAAGTTCTCGTCCAGCAATTGCAACAATGGAATCTAATTCCTGAGGAGTCAAACTATATGTGCTCTGAATGTTCTAGTCCGCTTCGACTTAGTGTATGTGATTCCGAGTAAGTTATTAATTATTATTTGCTTGTATTTTCTAATGATTGTTTTGTTAGAGAATTGATGGATTCCGATGAAGTTGCCAAAATTGGTTTGAAACTGGGGGTGGAATTGGAAAAAAGAAGTGGGAAAAGAAGAGATGCATTTATCAAGCTCGATTTTGCAAAGAAATGTTCTTCGCTCGATCTCACTTGTCCATTTGGCAAATCTTGATCTTCGTGAATCTATGAGTTAAGAACGTTGGTTTGAATATGATTGGTAAGCAATAATTGTATGTCTGATTCATTTGTTTTGTGTAGTTTAACTGTTTGTACTTTCGAATTGTAAGCAGCGATTTCCAAAAAGACTGCTGTGAGTTGGACTTCTTTTTGCCGGGAAGTGATTTATGATGCTTTCATTCTTAATAAGCAAAAGTTAGGTGGTTCTGGAGTTGAAGTGGAAATTGATAAATCCAAATTCGGGCTCAGGAAACATTACAAAGGTCATCGAGTCGAAGACCAATAAGTGTTTGGAATATTTAAATGAGAAATTTGCCGTATTATGATGAATCCAGTTGAGAAAGGGTTTATTTTATTTTGAGAGATAAATTAGTACGAATTAAAAGTTCTAATATATTAAGTTGTTAACATTTTAAAGATGCAGCCACATTGATTCCTATCATCAAGGACTGAATCCTTCCAGAAACTACTATCATCTCCGGTTGTTGGGACTCATCCAACACTTTGAGAGATGGGGGCTATAAACATCTGAAGGTTAACCATTCGATCACTTTCAAGGATCCTGAAACTGATGCATGTACTAATTCCATCGAAAACTCCTGAAGACATGCAAAAGTCGTCATGCCACAATATCATCACAAAAAGGATTTCTTTCCTTCTTATTTGGTCAAATATATGTTCATGAAGCGTTATCGTACGTCGGATTTGGATCCTATTGTTGAGTTTCTTCGAATGGCGGGTCAGATCTACGATCCGACTCACAATGAAGTAGAGAAGGTCTTAGAAGACTATGAAATTGAGAATGAAGAGGTAGAAGACAATGATTTCAATTGATATTCTTTTCGGATGTATTTGTTATCATCTTGGAATAAATCGATTTCTCATTTACTTATCATAGTACATTATTGAATCTTTTACTTAAATTAAGTAGGAGAGATCAAACACTTTTGAAACTTTTCAATGATCTAAAATGGGATCCTGATGGGTGGCCGCCGAGCTTTTTTAGTTGTACTATTGTTTTCTACGCATAATAAACCCTAGAAGGAAAAAAAGTCGCAGAAACAAAGGTGTTTACGTAAAGTATACTTATGTCAAAATGTGTTCCATCTTCAACTTTTATATATATTCTAGCTTAAGTTTGTCAGCTAGAAAACATTGTTCTTCTATATGAATGAATCAACCAGTTGATGAATGAAATTGAACAATCCACTTTGTATTTTCATGCATTGCATTCCAATTCCTAAAAATAAAAATGTCAATTTATCGAGAAAAAGCCGTGAAACTAACTCTGATCGATTATAACATTTACTTGCTTTTTCTCTTTCACTTTCAAAATCAGTATGACAAGCTCAACCGAAAGTAACTCCATGTTGTTTATTTCTCTTAATTAATCTCATAATTGCTTGACAATTTCAACTGTGTACAATTGATATGTTATTTTCATGAATGTTAAGTTTTTGACATAAATAAATGCTAACCAATATGATTGAGATGCTACATATGAAATAAGTGTTTGTTGAAGAATAACACTAAAATGCTTACTTTTTTTTGTAACTCTATCCAAATATGGATAAAAATTATGTTAATGAACTGTTACTTATCTATGAAATATTTCATAATTTGTGATGCTTTTCTTTATTTTTTGATATGTTTACCGTCTTTAATCGTCACAAAATATTAAGTATATATATATACATATATGTGAATGATAATATTTAAACTATTAACAGAAAATGACATTTAATTTACTTATAAAAAAAATGACTTCAAATGTTCTAAAATCAATGAATATCCATGAGTTGCCTAATTTGAGTTATAATATAAATGCAGCATTAACTGTCTAATATCACTTCGAAAATAAGGGTGTGGGTATCGGTGCGGCCATGCACTGTAGAAGTACTACTTCCACACCCACACCACCCATACCCGCACTCACACCCTCGTTCTGTGAACTCTCATAAAAAAATAAAAGTTCTTTCTAAAAGACAATTCTAATATTGAGAATCCTTTACAATCAAAGAACATGTTTCGGAATAAAAAATGATTTCAATTTAAAATCATTCGTTAAGATATGCCAATAGAACAAGTTGATATTTTATTTTATATGTATTAATTTCGAAAGAAAACAACAAAATAAATAGATTAATCATAATCAATACAATTATATTCTCGATTATTGGAGTGGAAAATTTCTTAAGAAACAATAGAAAAACAATTAACAATCCATAATAATAATATAAATGACAATGATTTTAACATCGAATTTAAAAGAAAACTAAATGATTGTTATAATGACAGTCAATATTTTCTTTATTTTAAATATTTTGTTTCAGTCTTCGATTGAATCTATTTACATTTCGATATTTGTTAAAGCATTTTCAATTTATTGAAAGTTTTAATGAATAACCAAAAAAAAACTTAACTTAGACAAACAACAGATTTCATTAATAGATGAAACTGATCTGAACTGATTTGATTTAAAATAATATTTTCTATTTCATACATTAATAATTGATAAGAAAGAAATTGAAAAATAATAAATTTTTTCATTTCTCCTATTGCATATTTTTTATTATAAATAACATTTAAATATTTCCATAATAATGTTGTATAGAAATTTTGATGTTGAATTATTAAATTTCTATTAATAAGTTGAAATGATAATTGATTATAACGTAATCTTGATAAATTAATAATAAATATAAAGGCAACAAGTGTTAGTTTTAATACGATTGGATATTGAATAAAATAAATAAATGAAAGCCGAATTTTTGACATTCATTGATGTAAATCAGAACTTATCCATTTATTTAAATAAAAATCAATAGTTGAACTTTCTATAAAATTATCTTCTAATATATGATGAATATGAATTAAATGCGATATATTGCACATTTTATCAATATTATTTGATCTTCGAGATTTATTTGTTTAAAATGTGGAATTTTCTTTTATAAAAATAGACTAAACTTCGAAACATTTGTTCTTCATCATTAACAAAATCTTTTAATGTTGAATCAATTAATGAAGAATTATTTATAAGAGTTGTATCTCAATTTAAAGTTAATGAATCATATGTGTGTTTTATATTATTAATTAATGATCAATTATCGAATGTTAATTTAGAAGATAAATTTTTATTTACTGTAAATATCTATGAAAAATAAAGATATTATTTAATTAATACTATTTTTTATTCAGAAAATTAGCTTATCAAATTTTCAATGGATTATAAAACAAAAATATTTCATCGTAATGATTCAAATATGACGGAGAAAAAAAGCCCAATCTGCAAAAATGGATCAATATACAAATCAGATTCTACATATGTAAATTTAAAGATAAAGTGTTTCTGCAAATTTTGTCATATCTTTCAGACTGATATGAAGTGCAACTGTTAGAAGAAGTGGCGCATTTGGATAATGGATTCGTATGTCAATTGAATTCATTATTTAGTTTCGATGAGTTTTTGCTTGATTGAACGAGTTAATGTTCGATTCGTTTCATGAAGAAGAAGTGAAAATAGATTTTTCTATATTGAATATTTAACAAAAAAAAATCATAAATGATTTTCAGTAATGATTTAAGAAGAGACACGACTTGAGAAAATGTGTATTTTTTTATCCAAAAGCATCTTCTACTTCGAACAACCTGGATCTGCTACTAGTTATTTTAATATAAATATATTTAGGTATCGTGAGCTGCCTAATTCGAGTTATCATATAAATGAAGCATCAACTGTTTAATATCACTTCGAAAATAAATGAAAAAAAGTCAAGTCGGCAGTTATTTATAGCAGAAAAAAACTTTTTATAAATTATAAATTATAAATGAGATAGGACTTTCCTATAAGTGCAGCAGAAAAGCAGAAAAAAAATTTTATCAATTATAATTTATAATTGAAATAGGACAGTCCAATAACTGCGGCAGAAAAGCAGAAAAAAAATCTAATAAATCTATATATATAATGTTCAGTGTCTGTGTGTATGCCTGTCTATGTCAGGTCACAGGTTAAAGGTCAAATAAGACTATAAGGAGGAGGGTCCCAAGGGTATTATGTGGGTACCCTAAGGCCGTCAAGGACTATTATATGAAAGACACCCATGGGCTCCCAAGGGCTATCCTATGGATATACGCGTAGTTCGTCAAAGGCTATTATATGGGGCCACTCGTGGAACCTTAAGGGCTAACCTATGGGAAGTGCCCATAGGTCCTCAAGGACTATTATATGGGGATACTCATAGATCCTCGAGGGCCATCCTGTGAGGGTACCAATAAGTCCTCAAAGGCTATTATATGGGGCACCCATGAGTTCTGGAGGGCTATTCTACGGGTATCTGCATAGATCCTCAAGAGCTATCCTACGGATACCTTCATAGGTCCTCGAGAGTCATTATATTAGAGAACCTATAGGTCCTCCAGGGCCATCCAATGAGGGTATCCCATAGTCTCTCAAGGGCTATTATATGATGGTACCCATAGACTCCGAAGGGAGTAAGGTAAATAAGAGGATAATGCTACAAGAGCCACAAGGGAATATAAGACTATAAGGCCGAAAGCTAATGAAGTATAAAAATATGTGTCATATAAGAGTATGAAGACGTAGGCTTTCTATATACACAATGTGGAGTGTCTATATGGCTTAGCGCCTGAAAGGTTAAAGATTTGAGGTCATATGTTAAAGGAGAAAATAGCCGTGTAGTATGTACGGGCTCACACTAGTCATAAATTATAAATGAGATAGGACTTTCCTATAGGTACGGCAGAAAAAAAAATTATAAACTATAATTTTTTATTTCGATAAGAATTTTACTTTAATAACTAATATGTACAGCCTTGTAGTGAAGTCTTGAACAAATCATAGGTCATGGTGAATATGGTTTGGTATAGACGAGCCTTTACCAGGCCACTGACTTGTGATATCCAACCTATAGCGTAAGCTGCTATGCGCTTGCTGAAGAGCTAGAAGCGGTGCTCGTCTCTATGGCCGCAATGATGGCAATATTTCTCTGGTTTTGATTGAGCTAAAAGAAAAGTTATGGAATTGAATATGTGGATCGTTGTTGTTCAGTAAGTAAATATGTATAAATAGAAGTATGGTAATTCCCATACAATTAAAGGAACTGGTCATCACTGGCAGTTATTTTTAAATGAATTGGTGTCAATGAACATCTAATTGTTATCTGTTCCGAAGTGTGTAGCTGAAAAGCTCAAGTATTCTGGAATAAGACTCTCGGAGTCTTATAACCAGAAGAAAATCAGATGTTCAATCATCCAGTTCTTGAAAAACGAACTAATTACGAGGAAAGTAACCGAAGTGATTCACCGCTTTTTAAGCTCATATTTCAGATGTATAGAGGGGACATCTAGACTAGAATGATCCTAAAATAATTCGGCCCCATAGGTCTTCTCTACAGAGTTATAGTCATTTTACTTGAATTTTTAGCCTATGGCACGGTATGTACAAACAAATTGACTGGCGGTATTTCGATTTGAAATTTTGTCCACAGATAGATCTACTTATAATTAGAATGCTCTGAAAATTTCAACTCAAAAGAATGTTTCCTGCGCAAGATATTGACCTTTCAAAAATCACTCGGATCCCATAAAAGATGCGGGAATCTCATGTTTTATCGACATTCAATATCTTGCGGAGGAAACATTCTTTTGAGCTGAAACTTTCAGAGCATTCTAATTACAAGTAGATCTATCTGTGGACAAAATTTCAAATCGAAATACCGCCAGTCGATTTGTTTGCACATACTGTGCATAGGGTGAAACTCAAGTAAAATGGCTTTAACTCTGTAGAGAAGACCTATGGGCCCGAATCGTTTTAAAATTCTTCTAGTCTAGAGGTCTTCTCTATGCGCCCAAAATATGAGCTCAAAAGTGGTGAATCACTTTGGGTACTTTCCTTGTTAGATAAAATTGGTTCGCGTTTTTTTTTGAAACAAATCGACCTAGTTTTTAAAAAGTTTGAATCGATCCCATCTCTGAAAAGGAATATGTATCGTGTCAACTTATTTAACATTATCACTGACGGTCATTAAGAAGTATTTTTAATTTTTTTAAAGATATATTGAAAACAAAATTGAACTTTTCCACAGAAAATATAGATAGTGTTTTATTTTTTAGGAGGTTTTTTAATTTCATAAGACAACATGTAAGCTAAATCTCAAGAAATAAGCAAAGAAGTACATTTAATATATAATAAAAGCAACAATTATTTTTAGTTCAATCCAATTTGATTTGTTGAAAGAATCAAAAAAGCTAAATAATGTCATTTAAGAATTTCCAAGGGAGACAAGGCAACCATTGTTTTTTTTGTCATTAATTAAAGCAACCAAATGTCCATAAAAACACTGTTCACATAAATATTATTCTTTCTTTTTCATTCTCATCATATTTAACTTCTCTTCAGCCAATTTTGTACCTTGAATACGTGCTCGAATTTTATCAAATGCAATTTGTCTTGAAGTTGATTGATCATCATCAAATGGTGAAAAGCCACAATCATCTGTAGTACCCAATTGTTCAACAGGAATATATATAGCAGCTTCTAATACTCTTTCACATACTTCTTCTGGTGTTTCAATTTTAGCTTTAAGAGGATCAATAACTCCAATAAAAATTTTATGCCATGGTTGCATTAAATCACGAATACGTGATAATATTTGATGACGATTAGTTTCAGATGATAATTGAAGAAAAAAATTTCCCACCTGAAGTTCAAATAAAGCAGGAAGAACTAAGAGATAATCAATATCAAATGAATGATAACAATCTTTATCGGCACCTAAAATAAAAATTTATAAATATTTTATGATGATTTCATATGAAAATTAATAGACAAAATACCTGGACAAACATGAACACCAAGTCGATGTCTTAATTGTGGTTCAAACCGACTTAAAACTCGATTATTTATTCGTACAAATTCACGTAATAATTGTCCAGTTGGATCTATTTTTAATGAAAAACGAGCTTCAGTAAAATCAAGTTGAACAGAATGTGCACCACTCGCAAAACATTCACGTATATCAGTTTCTGCTTCGCTCATTAAATCAGCCAAGAATTTTTCACGAGAATAACCTTCAATAGTTGCTTCTGGATAAACCATTGATAAAGCCGAAGGTGCTATAACTGCTTGTCTATATATCATAACGACAAAAATTATTATTATTTTTATTATATAATAGTGAATAAATACAAATAGATTTTTCTACTTACTTAATCGGTAGATTCGTATGTTTTTTTGCTTCATCGATATATGTATGAGCATAAATTGCATATCGAAAAGGAGCTTTAGCAAGGCGTGGTAATGATCGTTGATGTCCATCAGAAAAAGTTAAAGCAAAACAATTTGCTGAAAATGTATAACATTCATCAACTAAAGCATATATTGGATAAGTTAAAAATGATGGTTTTGTTTGTTCACCATCGGTTAGAACACTTGAACCAGTTGCTTCTAATTCTTGAACTGTTGTATGAATAGCTTTTTTTCGAAGAGTATTTAATTGATTACGACTAATCATTCCATATCGATAACTTCGTTGAGCTACAATTAATTCATCTGGCCGCGGAATAGAACCGACTAGTTCACTTCGAATCATGATCTAATCAAATAAATTCTCATACCACATCAATAGTTTGTAGATAAAAATAATTTATACTGACATACCTTGTCTAATAGATCTTCGTTTGCCATTGTTATGATTGAAAGAAGAGAAGTTTTATCACACTATATATAGTATATATGTTTGAAGATAAGATAGAGCAATGGAACGCGAAATACACTCGGATAATCTTTCACTGATGATTATTTGTTCATACTTTAGATTGAAATGACGTTGATGAAAAATGATCAACTAGATCATATTCAATGTGTAGTCACGCTATGTGAATAAATGATAGACATACGATCCGGTTTCATTTTGCTTTTTTTGCTTGACCTATGTATTTTGAAAAATCGAAATATATTTTTATAAATAATAAATATAATTCATTAAAAATAATCTGACTTATTTCATTATGATTGAACGAACCAGGTTGTTTTTTGTTGTTGTCTTATATTTATTTATACCATTTTTGAAATATTTCGTATGTATCTCTTTATAGAAAAATGAAGTCATATTAAATGAAAGATGATCTTATGAAGTCTATGTAGTTCCAAGCATTCTTGTATTGCACTGATCTGAGTATAAATACGTCGTTGTAACATCGATGAGTTTCTATTATTAATATGATCAATTTTTGTTAAATGTTACTCCTTTTTTAGTATGTATAAGATTTGTAAGATAAATAAAATAGAAATATGTTTTATCTGATTATATTATATTTGATTGATGAATAACTCTTCAAGTGATAATCAATATTTGAACTAACTTTGAAGAACTTATTTTTTTTACAGGCAGATAACATCTATATAATCGATAATACAGATTGGCATGAATACAATGGTATATTAACAAAAACTTAATCATTAGAATAGTATACTTCTTGTTATAGTGATCGTATGAAGTGGAGTTTATTAGATTGCACCTGAATGAAAACAATAGAATGTTATCAAATATAGTAAAGTCGAACTCTAGATCATTTAATATAAATTTAAAAAACGTTCTTCAAATTTTGTTATTAAAAAATATGATAAGAAAATTCATGGACAAGTCTCATATTCTGTTTGCTAATAATTAAATGAATAAAGTTAGTTTTGTAGTCATTAAAACTTATTGAGTATATCTGATAGCAAGTAAAAATAATCTGCTATTTAATGTAGAATTCTATTCATTATTCTATATATTGTTGATTAATAAGTATTCAGAAGATCTTTTTTTCTTTGAGTATTTATTATTTTCGAAAATAAGATCTTTCATCTATATTTTGAACTGTTACGACCTAAAATTCTTTAACGAAAAATTTCCCATATTAATCGATTTTTAATAAACAAATCTAAGGATCGATAAAGTTCTCCATAATTTCATCATTCAATCATAGATTTTACTATATAATCTAAAATCAAAAACTTAAATATGAAACTATCAGATTGAGCAAGAATTTATATTAATATGAAATCAGCGTAATAGAATAAAAAGAAAACCAAACAAATAGTGAATTAAAGCATTTTAACAAAAAAAACACAATTAAATGAGTAAACATAATATAATTAGTTCTGTTCTTTTTTTGAAATTTTTTTTCTTATTCTTAAAGGAATGGGTCTGATTTAGGATTACCACCACGTTCAATTCTTTGATTCTTAGCCTTTCGTCTAGCAATAACTTCCATAACAACAATAATAATGATGATTAAGACAACAGCTAATGTTATGATAATTATTTGTCCATATCGAAGAGCAAAATGGACCATTCTTAATATACGAATAGTTTCATCATTGACATTAACTTCTTGGTCAATCCATACAAGAGGTATCATACGTTTGATACCTTTACGTCCAGCTGGTGTAAGTTGTTCTGATTCAAAATTCGATGTTTTCATTGGATCAATAATAGCATCAATATTAAGTTGAACACGATGATGAGCACGAAGTGGTGTACCAGAATATGGTTCAAAATAAATCAATGCTTCATGTTTATCACGTGTTGGTGTAAAACCTTGAATATTCATTTGTTCGATTGTTTCATTACTACTTCCATAAAAATGTGCTTTTGATAAAAAGATTGTATTATCTGGAAGTGAAGCAGATATACATTGTGATATATCAAGTTTATCAAGTTCTGGACATGTATTTATATCATTTACATCGTTACATTGATTTAAATCAACTAATTTTATAACATATTCATGTACTTCAATACCTCCAAACATAGATAGAACTTTATTAAATTTAACATTAAGTGGACGACAAAAATCAGGTTGAAATATATTAAGTGATGGTTTATCAAAAAGCATTGGTACAAATGTAAGACCATCATAGATTGGAAAACCATAATAATCTGGTGAAGAAAATGAAAATGGAATATGTTCACTAGCAAAAGCAAGTACTTGACCTTTTTCCATCAAACCTTAAATAAAAATAATTTTAAATATTTCAATTTTAATTTATATAATACGAGATAAGACTGCCGTTCATTTATTTTAAAACTTTCCTATCCCTCCTAAAACTTGATTCTTCTAAAATAAAAAAGACACTTTTTGAGATAACTATATATAGGCATGACTTTTCAAGGTATCTTGTTTGAAAATTCATGAAAATGATTTGCAATGTTACAAGTTTTCTTTAGAAATTATGATAAATTTCTAGAGCTTTCCAACAAAAATACCGATACTCTATCCATAAGAAAATTATAAGTGCTATTGCAGTTACTGTCTCTTATCACAGTCTAAAGTGTAGCTAGAAGATCATTCGATAAGATACTACAGAAATTTTTAGATGGTAAATAAAATAACTGCATTTGATGTTCATGTCAGAAAGTTCTTCAGGTAAATATACAAAAGAAAAAAAACCTGTTCGAACATTTTTCTTGACATATGTTTTTGCATAAATTGTCAGATTTCGAACGAATTTCTTTTTCGATAATATTCGTTTTAGTGAACTGCAGTTAGTTTTACTCGATAGATAAATGTATTATCTTTCGGATGATGGAAAGGAATTTTGTATTCAATCCTCAATATCAAAGTAATCATGGATTTTCTACAACGAATTGCCAAAGATCTCTTTGGAAGATTTTGAAAATCTCAAAAATTAAATTAAATTAAAATAAAAAAACTCTTTCCCTCATCCGAAGCCGTAAGGAATTTTTATTGCAACGATAGTAGCTCGAGCACTGTAACTTGAAGTCTATTGAAAAAGACATTTGTATGTGTGAAAACTCTATTTTATACTATGGCTCTTGAAAATCTTCTGAACAATAAGACTTGGAGTCATGGAAATTTTTTTAATCGTACGCTTTCATTAACTGAACATTTTCAAAAAATTTCATGCACTGTATCAAAAATCGATTTTGGAAGAAAAGATAGGCCTCAAGCAAAAAATAATACTTAGATTATTGAAATCTCTTGTGAAATGAAATAATTAACACACAAATAATGCTCCGATCTAATAAAAGTATGTTAATGTTTAATTATTCTGTGTTATTGGAATACACATTAAGTTAACTTTATTATTAATTTTACTCTGAGGATATAATTAACAGAAAATTTGACACTATTATTATGTTTCATTCAATTACATATAATTGGTAATTAGAAAACAAATTCTCATTTCATAAGAAACCGAGAACTGTAAAAAAAAAGAAAATAATTTCAGAAATTTGATTAGTATTCATACCTGATTTGATTGTATAATTATATGATCGGCTACCATTATATCGATAAATAAAACCTGATTTAGCTGTATTTGGTCCAGTCATTTTATCTTGAATTGATTTAAATAAATCTGAAGTAAATCCTTCTAATTGTTCAACAGCATTTCTATGAGGAAATGTTTCCATGCCAGCAAGAGCATAAAATGCTTGTGATGCTTTAGCTTGAAATTGTGTTCGAAAAATAGCTCGAACTAAATCAAGAAATACACCTGTATCATTAACAAATGATGGATTAAATTGTGTTGGATGACGAGTAAATAATCGATGAATTGAATAACTAATTGATTTATTATCTGTTGACCATTGAACATCTTGTTTAGTCGATGATAATGAATATGAATAAGATGGAGTTTCTTTAACATGTACTGTAGTCGAAGTAGGATTAGTAACTATTTCAATAGGATTTGTTATATTAAAAAGATGATAACCTCGTGTTATAGTTGTTGGTGGATGTAACCATGCATCATAACCTTCTGTATTCGGTTTAAGTAAGATTGTTTTAAAAATACGATTAATAATTAATCGTTTCCAATAGATACATAATACTATTGCCGGTATGAGAATAATAAAAGCAATTACCACTTCTACAATAATTCTTTTTGTTGCTTTTTTGTTTCGTTGAGTATTCGAAATAGGTTTGTCTTTTGTCTGCATTTCTTAACTATGTTGACGATATAATACTGAGTTCCTGTTCTTTTCATCTTTTTTTAAGTATATAATAATGATTATTTGCTTTGACCGCAAATAAAAGAACGCAAAAAGGAAAATAAGAACACATGAAATAGTGATATTTATGGTTGCTACAATCTGCAGGTGTCTTTTTTCGTATATTTCAAACTGCTACATCTCAAGATATTATATCGCTTATCAAATAGACTATATACTGTGGTCAAAAAGTAATATATTCCAAAGAATTTCATTGAAATACGATTTTGGTTTCACTTTTTATTTTTTTTTACAGTTTATTATTTTAGAAAATTTAAAAGATGAAGAAAATGATGATGGTAATGTCAATAATTATCTTTGATTATAAAGGATTACATGACAAATCAATAGATAAAAGTAAAAAATTTCAAATATATTTATTAATAAGACGAATCTTTGCATTTATTTGAAACATATTCAAAGATATTTTCGAATTAATCATATTTTATATTTAATAACTTTTGTTTGGTAAAAATCAAAATGAATATCTGCTGACAACTATTATGTATATTTGATCAGAGGTGTTCTTAAAATCAAACATGAGGGTGTCATAAGTAATTAAAATTTATTAAAAAGCAATATGTAAAGAATAGAGAACACATATGAATAATTATGACATATTAGAATAGTATAACATATTACTACCAATAACGACAAATATTTATAAAAGAGAACATGTATTAAGAGTTCATTTTATATTTTAAAATGATTAGATTAATAAATAGTTTCGAATATATTGTGTATTATAATGTAAACTGATATACTAGTTCGAAAGTTAAATTTTATTCATGATAATACAATTAAATCAAGAAAACGGCAAACTAAATAATTTTTATTTTGAATATAAAATATTTAAATTAAGATTAAAAATCATTGAATCATTATTATAATCCTTTTGAATGTTTGCTAGAGAATACTACAGACTGTATTATCGTATAATATTACTAACGAATCATCGAACTGGATTTATGAAAAGGTTGAAAGAAAATACATGTGCAAAAGAGTGTAAAATAAGCTTTTCAGATTTATATATTTTACATAGATGAAAATATCTTTATTGCCTACTAAGCAAGGTAGAGTGTAAGGGTTGCTCTACTCTTTACCATACACTCGTACCCACTTCATACTCGACACTGTTGCTGGTGTACATTTAGTTTGAAAATCAATGATGTGCATTTCTTTTATAACTACGCGAATAAAAATAATTAATTAAATCACCATATGCAAACTATAGCTACTATGTATAAGCCAATATTTAAACAAGAAAAATATAAGAAATACGTGACAGCCATATAAAAAAAATCAAAATAAGGCAAGTATCATAGATGCATAAAATGAGTCGTCACTTCTATTTGTTAATAGTTATTGTCCTTCAAAACAAGATTAATTTTAGCGAGTATTGACATTTATACGACCATGATGATCATACATAATAAACATCTTTTATTGCATAGAATAAAATAGAAAACATCAAAATTTCAATCTGAATTTGAGATCAAAGGACTATAATATATGATAGAACATATGATCATAATATATTTGTTGATATTATTATATTTATTCATAAAAAAAAAAAAACATCACAATTTTGATTAAACACAGATTTATATGATAAAAAAAAAACAATTGAACAGTATAATATGAATGTTTTAAGCATTAACTTTTTCCTTTTACTGTTTTTGAAAAAAAAGTAAAACAAAAGAAAATAAAAATTAAACTAACAACTAATGATAATCATGCTTTTTATGTCTTTATTATATTATTCGTGAATTAATGCTTCTCACTTCACATAATTGGTACATGTATATCATTATTTTTATGAGCTCGTTTAGCAATAAATTCCATATAAAGAATAAAACCAATTGATAATCCAATTGCTAATCCTATACTAAAATATTCTCCATAATAAAGAAATAAAAGAGGTGTTCGCAATTTTTTAATAACTTTTTTTGAAATAAATGTTTTTTGATCAATCCATACGAGAGGTATCATACGTTTGATACCTTTACGGTCGGCTGGTGTAAGTTGTTCTGATTCAAAATTCGATGTTTTCATTGGATCAATAATAGCATCAATATTAAGTTGTATACGAAAAACACCTTCAAATGGTACACCTGAATATGGTTCAAAATATATAGCTGAATCATGTTCATCAGTTGTTGGCTTAAAACCTTGAATATTCATTTGTTCGATTGTTTCATTACTACTTCCATAAAAATGTGCTTTTGATAAAAAGATTGTATTATCTGGAAGTGAAGCAGATATACATTGTGATATATCAATTTTTTCAACTTCAGGACATGTTCTTGTATCGTTTGGATTTGTACAATTATTAAAATCGACTAATTTAATTTTGTATTTATACATTTTTAAACCTCCAAATTTAGTTACTATTTGATTATGTTCAAGAAGAATTGGATAACAAATATCACCTTGAAAAATATTAAATGTTGGCTTATCAAAAAGCATTGATGGAAATGTAAGACCATCATAAATAGGAAATTCATAATCAGACGGAGATGATATTTCAAATGGAACAAGTTCACTAGCAAATGTAAGTATTTGACCTTTTTTCTCTGGATCTAAACAAAATGTAAATAAATGCAAGTAGACATTATAATTATTATTTTTTCAACCATTCTTTGAATCGTATGTATTTAAAAAAAACTCAGAACTACCGAGTGTACTCTTGAAAAACTTTATTAAATAAATTTGTTTTTTTCTTTGAAATATTTGTTCATTTACTCTAATTCTCATCTGATAATTCAAACATTATGAAATGCCTCTAAGAAACTTTTTCTTTACCAGTAGTTAACAAATAACTACAAGTTATGTGTTATATTTCATACTTATGAACAAGGCGGCTTACCGGAATTTCCGGCTCGAGATTAACTTGAGCTCATTAACTCCTATAAAAAGGTCTTAATTCTTTAATTAGTTGCTACATTTCATAGTGTTGATCAGTATGCATTTTTCATTAAGACATACGGCTCAGAAAGGTGGCGTAATGATAGATTGTGGATGTGGATGAGGATGTATGCATGACGTATGATTGTGACTATGGATGGAGAGAGGGTCCACACTCACATCTTCATGATAAAAGACGTATTCAATTTAGTCGGCTGAATTTTTAATAAAATACTCTTTGATCTTTTCTTGTTTGACTATATCTATTTCAAGAATTCTACCATTAATTCTCATAATTTCTCTACTTTTGTTTTGCTACTACATATTCATTTAAAATATATATTATATATAGTCTTACCGGCTTGAATTGAATAATTAAATAATCCACTACCATTATATCGATAAATAAAACCTGATTTAGCTCTATTTGGTCCAATCATTTTATCTTGAAATGATTTAAATAAATCTGAAGTAAATCCTTCTAATTGTTCAACAGCATTTCTATGAGGAAATGTTTCCATGCCAGAAAGCTCATAAAATGATTGTGCTGCTTTAGCTTGAAATTGTGTTCGAAAAATAGCTCGAACTAAATCAAGAAATACACCTGTATCATTAGCAGATGATGGATTAAATTGTATTGGATGACGAGTAAATAATCGTTCAATTGCATACCTTATATGTTTATTATCATTCGACCATTGAATATTGATTTTATTTGTTTCCATATTATAAGTATAAGAAGGAGTATTTTTAACATGTACTGTAGTCGAAGTAGGATTAGTAACTATTTCAATAGGATTTGTTATATTAAAAAGATAATAAGCTCGTGTCATAGTTACTGGTGGTTTACACCATACTTTGAAACTATCTGAATCGGGTTTAAGATTTACTGCGTTGACAATCTTTTTTGGAATTATATTTTTTAAAAAACTTGAGAAAATAATAGCCAATATAATAAGAAGAACAGAAACCAATATTTCCACAACAATTAGTTTTATTCTTCGTCTTCGTTGTTCTTTTGATACATATTGTTCATAATCATTCGGCGACATAGTCATGTGTTAGTTAAGATAGTAGGATGATAGATACTTCTATATCTCCTTCTTTTTATAGGCAATAATTTATTTTTTTGTATCGCACAAAAGAAAAAAATGAGAAGAATGAGGCATTCAGATAGCATAAATAAGTCGATATTACCACCTCATGTCGGTACATGCTGTATAAACTATTTCAGATAACATTCCGACTGATGAGAATCGAAAAAAAAAACAAGGACCACGCAAAGATAATGATTATTATTATTATTATTATTATATGTTTTGCTGTATTCATATGTACCAAGTTGATAAAAAAATATTTAAAAAATGAAATACAAATGGAATGAGAAAATATGATTAAAAAAAACCCAGGTTCCTTCTTATCAAATATTTATAATAGTTCGTTAATGTCGTAGAACAAAAGCGAAATATTTATAATTAGACAAATAGTTTTACATATTATTCTATATTTTATAAACGAAAGTTCGATACAACAGTTTGAGTATAAAATTATATTTGTACTTCAATTATAAAATGGGTGTCCTGGAATGAATTCCATTGAATCTTGGTGCACTTTTTTTTTCGTCCTTTCTAAGCATAAAAAGTTTTTCTTTATATTTGAAAAGATACATAATTTTAAGCTTTACAAAACTACTGATGACATTTATTGAATTATGTAAATCTTTGCTCATCAAGACCGATGTCTTTAGGATGATTTCAAGATTTCTGGTACTGATGTTCATGAGAAAAACAAAAAGACTTGTAAGTAACGTCTGTCGGTATTTTGGAATTTTTAAAAGTCCAACTTACACTATGAAAGATTTATTATTATATCGTCGGTTGTAGAATGTAGTTCGGAACACAAGGATGTAAATGTTAAATTGAACAGTGGAAATAATTAGGTTATTTTGAATTAGAAAACAATAATAGTATGAGTTTATCAAAGAAGGGCTCGTTCGGTACTGTTATATTTTTTTGCTTAAAAACTGTTTCTTCCACATATTGTTTCTAAAATTGTGAAAAATGCATCTGAAGATGAAGAATTTTACGGAGAATTTCATGAAATGTTTGATATTTTTGTGGAACCTTTATTAAAAAAATTCTTATCAGTTTTGTTGTAATTAAAGATTTAGTATAATATCTTCTAGAATACCACTAAATGAAAAGTTGATTTTTCATTTTCACAAGGAGTTTCACTTGAAACATAATTCGTTCTTCAACACCATCGAATACATGAAATTGCCCGCAGATAACAGATAAGAAATAATTACAAATCACTGAACATTCTACATTTTATAAATGAATATCTGATCTTTCTTTTAGATATTTGTGTTTCGAATATTTTTCATGATAATATACTGAAGCGTAATATTCATTGATATTCAAATTAATGCTAAAACGCCAAAGCATAGTTATTATTGTTATCACTTGACAATTCTATTGTGAATCTAATTAATATTGAAACGACTTGAAATCAATTGATTCAGTACAAGTTTATCTTGAAGATTTTTACTTTCTTGTTTTTAAACATTTCTATTTTTGATAAGAATTCTTTGAAATATTTTCTTCGGTATTGTTTTTTCAGAGAAATTTTTCTCCGATCTCAATTGAGTACAATAAAAGATAATATAAAGAAAAATTCCATCACATATTTATGAAACAATGAGATATAACGAATATTTCTTTTTCATTCCTATTAGATTATTATTGACAAAATCGATGTTACTTTTATTCTGTTAATAAATCGATCATTTCTCTCTCTCTCTAAGTACGTAATGATGTTTATTAGTCAAATAATGTTTCAAATTCAAATGTATGTTGTATGTTAAGTCAATCAATTGATTCTTTTTTTTTTCTGAGCAAAAATTCCATTCATCAATTCAAGATTCTCTATAATTAAATTCCCATTTATCCTAATATCTAATAAAAAAAATGAATTGATACTGATTGTTTTTTGATTTTTGATTTTAATCAATCAGAAAAACAATTTCATACAAAAAAAAATGTCCTAATTGTAAACAAACATTTCTCCTTCGAAAAGACTTTGTCGAATTTTAACGTTTTCGACTAAAACAAAAAAAATTTCAAATTCAAATGATAACATAACTTTGAAAAAAAGAAAAAATTCTACATACAATTTATATTTTCGTCGAGCATTTCGTTTACCGGGTTGTTTACGTTCTTTACGTCTAACATCTTCCGTTAGAAGACCAGCTAGAATTAAATAAATTTTTCATTAAAAAAAAAAATAAATTTTCAATATAAAATTTAAAAAAAAGCTTTTAACCTAATCGAAGATATTCAACTTCTTTCGATGAAATAAATGAACATAATGCTTTTGATATAGCTAAACGTGCTGCTATAGATTGTGCTGTAAAACCAATACCATCATAAATAATATCAATATCAAATAAATTCACACGATCTAATACTTTAAATGGATATAAAAGTTGATCACTATACATATACAAAATAAAATAATTCAAATCAAAAAAAAAAAAAACATCAAACCGATGCATAATTCTTGTAAAATAAAGTATATCATTAACAGATGTTTTAACAGATGATGATTTAATTGTAACTTTTCCAGTTCCTTCACGTAATGTAACTGTTGCTGTACACCATTTATGTTTAGCTAAAGTATTGAACATTAACAGAAGAGAAAAAAAAAACGAAACAAAGAGAGAAAGGTAAAAAGATTTGTTCTCCTTCAGCTTAAATTTTTGTTGAACATAAGATTAACTTGAAGATGACAGTAACGTGTACTTAAACAAGAAGCAATCATCTATTTAAACAATAGAAACAAACGATCACATTTATTTGTAGATAAATGTCATGCACAACATTCATTTATTCTTTTATCAATGTGGTTGTCTTCTATCTATCTTATTTTTCTATTAGATTCAATTTTATCAGGTAAAAATTATTTCAATAAAAAAAAAAAAATTATAATAATACAACGTTTTTTTTCTGTTATTTCTTAAGCAAAATATAATCGTATATGTTATTTTACAAATTGGGGTGCACATAGATCATTAAAAGAATCTCGACTTTATCCAGAAGATATTCCACCAGATTTATGTACACATATTTTATATGCATTTGCTAATCTTCATGGTAGATCATTACAACCACAATTAACTAATGATATTAATATTTATCAAGGAGAAAAAGTTAGTAAGAAAGAAGGAAAAACTTAGAATTAAAATTTATTTTTATTTTAGCCACTTTATCCTCGTATGATGAAATTAAAAGAAAAAAATCCAAATTTAAAAATTTTAATTTCATGTGGAGGATGGGGAAAAGCAGGAGATTTTGAACCATTAGTTGGATCAGATTCATCAAGGTAAAAATTTTGTTCTCTTTTTTTTTTTATTGAATTTATTTATTTATTGTTCTTCTCAGAGAATCATTTAGTCAAAATGTAATAACATTTTGTCGTCAGTATGGTTTTGATGGAATTGATTTAGATTGGGAATTTCCATCAGCTGAACATCGTGAACGTTTTGGATTATTAACAAAAGTATTTTCAAATTTTCATCGATTTCTTTTTTTTTTTCTTTCTTAAGAAAATTCATTTATATTCAGACAATGCATAAAATGTTTAAAAAAGAAGCAAAAACATCTAAAAAAGATCGATTATTAATTAGTTTAGCTGTAGCAGCTGGAAAATATTTAATTAAACAAGGTTATGATGTACCGGTTTTATGCAAGTAGGATTTTTATTCACAAAAAAAATAAATAAATAAATCATTATCAATATTTTTCTTCATTATTTAGTTATGTAGATATGATTAACGTTATGACTTATGATTTATATGGTGGATGGTATAATAAAATTGGTCACCATAGTGCCTTATTTCATCGATCTGATGAAACAGGCATGGATAGAGAATTAAATACAGTATATTAATAAGAAAATTTCTTTTGTTTTGAAATTATTTTTTGAAATTTATGTTTAGAATAGTTCAATGTATAATTGGGTTGAAGCAGGTTGTCCACGCAATCGTCTTAATATAGGTATTCCTGGTTATGGTCGAGCTTTTACACCTGATAGTAAAGATCCATTAAAAGCACTTGGACAATTTGGTGGTGGTACTGGTTCAGTATCATCACCTTATTTAGGTGAAAGTGGTTTACTAACTTATTTTGAAGTATGATATTCATTCGTTTTGTTTTGTCTTCGAGATTTAATGAATAAATTAAAATTATTTTTAGATATGTAAAAAACAATTAAAAGAAGGTTTTAAACGTTACTGGCATCAACAACATCAAAGTCCAATTAGTTTTAAAGATGAAACATGGATTGGATATGATGATCCAGAGAGTGTTAAAAATAAAGTATGAAGATAAAGATTTTTAGAAAATCAAAATTTATTTTTATTTTCAAGTGTAAATATGTCAAACGTGAAGGTTTTGGTGGTGCAATGGTTTGGACATTAGATATGGATGATTTTAATGGACAATTTTGTCGAAAAAATAAACAAAATTCAATACATAAATTTCCATTAGTTAGTGCAATAAAAGAAGAATTTGAGATAGATGAATTAACAACATCAATATCAACGTTATCAATTGAAACATCAACATTATCAAATGAAACTGTATTAATAAATGATCCATTTCAAATTCTTTTAGATCAAATGTTTTTCAATGCATCATCATCATCATCATTAAAATTCGATCAATCGTATTTATTTCTATTTAATCTACTTACCACTAGTTATTTGATAGGGTCGACCATCAACATCGTAACGTAACTTAAATAATTAAATTATTTTCAGTTTTTTTTTTTGAAAAGAAAATTTGTCTTTTTTTTTTACTGGTTCAATATGTTGTTTACTAATTGTATCAGCTAATTTTGTTCGAAATGAATTTATATAATCTTTTATTGTGTATGCCATTGGATTTTTAACAAGACGATTTAAACATATTATTAATGTTTTATACTATAATCAAGAATAAAATAAGATTTTTTTTTTCTTAAGAAAAATTTTACTTGTTCATCATCAAGTTTTTCTAAGAAACGTTTTTCAAAGATTTCTTTACTTTCCCATTGTGTATAATTAAATTCACTTAAATATTCAACAAAAACAAAAAACATTCCAAAAAAAGAATTTTTATTTGAATACGTACTCATTTTGACTATAATCTGGTTCACGACCAGATGCAAGCATAGCAACTTCACCTTTTTTAAGTTCTTCAATTTTATTAGCAACCGTCTAAATTTAGAAAATTAAAAGAAAAAAGAAGAAATTTTGTTTTTTACATGTAAAACATCATAATAATTGTGTTTAGCTGTATAATATAAAAAATGAAATGGTCGACCAGCTTTATCGAATTGTACGGCTAATAAAGTAAAATAAAATAAAACTAATATCAATTAGACATTGAATATTTGATAATACCTTTTTCTTTTGGATACATTTCTTCAGGTGGCTAGAAAAATAAATAACAAAAGAAAAGAAAAAGGAGATTAGAATTTAAATAATTCAATTCTTACTCTCATTTTAGGTCGGGCACGTTCATCAAGTAAACCTGATGGAAGTAAATAACTCAAAGCATCCTAGAATATTATTCAAATATAAACGAAAAACAAAAATCGTTTAAAGATTTAATTACATCAATTTTTTCTTGATTAAATTCTTCGGGATCTTCACCCATAATTCTTGCTAAATGTCTTCGTCCAATTTCATATTCATAATTTTTTTCATCGAGTACCTTTTCTAGAAAAATCAACAAAAAAAAATTAGAACTTTTTATGATATAGCATATTTTACTAACGTTTTTCTCTTGATTTCAATAAATAATTCTTCATAGCTTGACTAATCTTTTCAGCACGATCACTTGTTGCTTGTTCAACACTATCAATTATTTCTTCATCAGCAATCGCTTGTGCTGCATCACGACTATTAAGAAAACTTTCATTTTCATCTATTTCTTTTATTCCAGAAGTTGAAGATGTTTGTTGACGATCTGATTTGGAATTTGAAGTAGAACTTTGTAGTCGATGAGCTATAGACTAACAAACAAACAAACAAAAATAACGAGAGAAATTAATAATCAAATCAATAGAATATCAATTGATTATCTTACAGGAATTGTCAATCGAGTAGAAACAATTTGCAATATTGCTCGAGAGACGAATCTCGAAAGCATTATTACGTTCAAAATCTTATTTCTAATAATTTGGTATACTGTCTCTCAGAAAAAAGTCGTTTCATTCGGCCTATCAATAGCAGAT